CCTGGAAACTCACCAACTGCTCAGCAATGCCAGGCCCCGAAGCTTCTCTGGTGCTGCTGGGCCCCACAAGGCCTAGACATCTGCATTTGCTTCTCAGAGCAGCAGTAAGTGGGGGTGGTCCCAGAGCGGGGGCCTGTACTGTTCTCCCAGCTCCTGCCTGAAGTGTGGTGCCCAGTGCTGGATGCCCTCCAGGCCCAGGGATGTCCGTCTTGGTCCAGTGTTAACAGGAGCCATCCAGGCACCTGTGAATGTCACTCGGCACCTGTGGTACACACCCCCCGTCCTGAGCGCCATGTCCAGGAATTATGGTGATTGTATTAGCAGTTTTCCATGGGTTTACAACAGGGGTCGGCAAACTACAGCTCCTGGGCCAAATCTGGCCCACTGTCTATTTTTGTAAATAAAGTTTTATTGAAACACACCTATGCCCATTCATTTACATATTGTCTGGAGAGCCTTAAATAGTTACTATCTGGCCCCTTATGGAAGAAGCTTGCTGACCCCTGGTTTAGAAGGGACCTTAAACTTGGTCTGCCCTAACCCAACCTTCCAAGTCCTTGGGTCTTGGCCCAAAGGCAGTGTCCCTCTGTCGGGCCAGATGTGGTGACCAGGAAGACGGGAGAACAGTGATCTTTGTTCAGTGAATGGAGCACAGGCTAGGAAATAAATGAAAGTGGAAATGCAGTGACGCCAGCCCCCTCTGGAACACTGTCTCCACTGAGTTTTAGGTAAGTGTGTGACAGATGAGTGAGCAGAAGCTTGGAGAAGCTCGGGGTGGATCTTGGTGGCTGGAGCTACTGTCTCGGTGCATGAGCTTGGAAGCTTCAGGAAACAGGGCTGGGGAAGCGCCCGCCGGGCTGTAGTTCCAGGGGAGGTGGCGAGTCCAGCTCCTGGGGACCCACAGGAAGGGTGGATCTGTGCAGCCACATTTTAAAATAGAAGGAGGAGGACAGATGGATGGCTTCAGTGTTCCTGCACAGCAAGGAGGTGGCTAGGTGTGGACAACAGGAAGGTGGGAAGGCACTGTCATCTTTAACCATAGCCTGGACACAGGGTGGGTGACAGATGAGTCAAGAGTAGCCCTAGGGCCACCACAGTGATTGACCGCCTGGGTGGTGACTCAGATGGCAGAAGTGGCCGGGTGGGTGGGCCACATTCCCTGGGGTGCCCTTGTGAGGGAGTCACCCCACAGTGCTGCAGGCCCTTTACCTGCCTGCCCTGCCCTGCCCTGCCCAGGGAAAACGCCTCACCCTCTTTCCCCAGCCTCCCTCCTCCCAGGCCCTCCCTCCCACAGACCCCCACCCCTCACAGCCATGTGGTCCAAGGCCTGGGCCCGGGTGAGGGGGTGGGGGGAAGGTGGGTGGAGGTGGAGGGGTGGCGGTTCAGGTTAGGTTTAGGGAGCTCAGCCCGGCATTGGTGTTGAGGACTTGCTGGGCCACCTAAGGTGATGGCATCTCAGAACTAGGAGAGCTTGTGGAACAGACCTGGACAGACAGACAGTGGATGTCCCACGTCGGGGTGAAGCCACCCTTTTCTGGTGGCTGTTTCTGGGATGAGGCTGGCCCAGCCTCCAGGGACCCCCCCGCACCACCATCCGGCTAATGCCTGCCCCAGCCCCACAGGGCTGTGTCTTAAGTGGAGTCGACGCAGGGCCCTGTCTAAGCTCTGGCTGGCGGACCCCAGGCCGGCCTGTCCTTATAAATAAAGTTTTCTGGAACTCAGCCACGCGCGTTTATTTATGTCCCGTCTGTGGCTGCTTTTGCGCGACAACAGCAGAGACTGTCTGGCCCTCAAAGCCAGGCATTTACTATCTCGCCCATTTCAGAAAAAACTGATCTCCGGTCTCGCTGAGACAGGCATTCTGTGTGTTCAGGCCTGGGTTTATTAGCCTGAGAGCTCCCTCCCCCTCCCTCCTCTCCCTCCCCCTCCTTCCCCATCCTTCCCCGTCTCACCCCACTTCACCCTTTCTCCCCCTCTGAGGTGTTGCTCTCCTCGCCTCTTCCCCCCTCAACCTCCCTGTTACGGTCCCTCCTAGCATTTTCAGTTACCTGCTAGAGGACCCCTCCCCGCCACCTTTCTCTCCCACCCTCCCCTCCCTCCCCCAGCCTCCTCCCCACTCTTCCCACCTGCTCCCACACGTGGAAAGAGGGCGGATCTTCCATGACAGACGAGATCCCAGGAGAAAGGTCCTCCCTGCTGCGACAGTTGAGCGGCAGGGGGACTGTGGAGGGGCTCACTGCAGGAAGCATGACATGAACTAGCTCCCTTAGAAAGTAGTTCGCGCCCCGTCCTCCCAGAGAGCTGACCTCTGTGCCCACAAGACCCTGCGGAATTGAGAATATGGAGAGGTTCCTGGGCACCAAGCTGGAGGGGGTATCCAGACAGAGATGGGGGTTGTCTTCTTCACCCCTACTCCTTGTAGCTCTGACCTTGAGAGCCATCTCGGCCCGGCCTTCCTACAGCTCAGAAAATGCTCCTGTGGAGGCTGGGGAAGAGGGGAATTCAGGGAAGGCCACACTGGTGCCACACTAGACCTAACTCTCTCCCCCTCCCGCAGCTTGAGGCGCAGGCCCCAAAGCCACGGGGTGCCCCTCTGCAGCAGCATAGAGGGAGTCCTAGAGGTTCCAGTGGCTCCCAGGAGAGGAGATGGAACTGAGAGCTTGAAAATGGGGTTTTCCTGGGAGATCATGGATGTGAGGTCACAGTATTCACAGAACTTTCTGGAACCAGGGCGGCCCTCCAGGCTGCAGAGGGTACACCTCCGCTCTAATGGTTTTGCAGACACTGGACACAAGGAGTCCTACCCTGTCTCTGAAGAGATGACCGTGCCCCTGAGATCAAAACCCTCTGTCTGTGGCTGGGCGCGGTGGCTCATGCCTGTCATCCCAGCACTGTGGGAGGCCGAGGTGGGTGAATCACCTGAGGTCAGGGGTTCGAGAGCAGCCTGGACAACATGGTGACACCTGGCCTCTACCAAATAGAAAAAATTAGCTGGGTGTGGTGGTGGGCGCCTGTGATCCCAGCTACTTGGGAGGCAGAGGCAGGAGAATCGCTTGAACCCAGGAAGTGGAGGTTGCAGTGAGATGAGATCGCGCCATTGCACTCCAGCCTGGGCAACAAGAGCAAAACTCCATCTCAAAAAAAAAAAAAAAAAAAGAACCCTCTGTCTCACATCAGAAAGGGGAGGGCGAGAAGCATGACCTGGCCCCTGAGATAAGGGGGTCGGGGCACCAAGTGTTCCCACATGGGAAGGTTCTGCCAGGACCAAACTTCCTGGCGGCCTGGCCGCCCCGGGGACAGGGTCTCCGGGGGCCTCTTCCCAGCTGAGAGGGAGCTGGAGGC